AATAGGCCTAATGATAATTTAAAATATAATTTGAAGAAGTGTTTCTTTCACAAAATGAGTATTGTATATATAACTAAAAAGGCTACTCATCTTTTCTCCCTCTTGCAGGAACTCATGTCACTTCCATTTGTTTCAGGATAAATAAATGAATTCACTGCAGCTGTTATTTCTATGAAATTATGTTGTCTTTGCTATTCTGTTACTAATAAAATAGCTTTTTTTTCACTGCTTGTCCTATTTTGGCACAATCCCTAAATTGAACGAGTAGTTTTACTAAGGGCACCAATCTCACATGACATGTAACTATGTCAAACATATTCTACCTGCCTTCCTGAAATAAATTACTATGAATTTGATATGGTAATTAATACTGAGACACTCGTTTGGGCAAAGAGCACTAATGACTTGTTTAAGACTTGAATCTTAAAGTTGAGGACTTGCAACTCGACTTGAACTTGCCTGTCTTGACTCGGGACTTGACTCGAGACTTGAATGCAAAGACTCGAGACTTACTTGTGACTTGCAAAACAATGACTTGGTCCCACCTCTGGAGATCACACTGCATAGGCACACACAGAAATTTCTATGACAAGTCACGCAGGTACTGGATTACTCCGCAGCTTTAAAATAGTCCATATATAAACACTTATAGGTGTACCAAAGTGATTCAGGACAAGTCAAAAACACGATTTGGAAAAATGGGTATATGATATATTCTCTCATTATATAAATTATGTAACGTTACATTCTGAACACAAAGTTACAAAGTGCAGCTTTAACTATAGCACGAAACAAATTTATATGTGCGATTAAGTTACGCGAGGGTTAGTTGATTATCACAGACAATCAATTATGTATGTAAAATCTGTAAAATGTATAATAAACATGAACTTACCGTTAAACGTCTCGATAAGACTGCACTCGACGAGTTTTTCTCTCACAAATGTATCCATGTGCTTTTCTGACAAGAAAAAACGACATTTTGAATTATATGACTTACCAAAAACCTTTATTTACGTATGTAAAAGGACTTTATAAACCACACAAGCATCAAATCACCTCACTAACGCAGCTTACGGCACTCGCTGTGCGTGCGTGCGCGCACTTTGAAATGTATCGAGGCCCTGAGACGTCGATTCCTTCCCGGGAATCACTTTGTTCGAGAATTGATGAACCGGTTTATTTGAACCGGATCGTCGGTTCTTTTAGACCTGCGGTCCGACGACATTGTACGTAATTTGTATGTGATTTACATGTCGATATGGACGATTGCAGGCGTTTATATTAGAGCAGAATGCCGTATTCACTTATTTTAACTTATTTGACTCACTTTGTTAGATTCACTTTTCAGTGACAGAAACGTCTCGTTCCTCTGTTTTCACAGATATTCACATATTTCAGCCTTCCGTCACTGTCTGATACTTAATAAAACTATTAATCTGTCTTCTCAGATACCTTAACACGATTATGCGAAGTACATGTAGAATGGCCGTCTGAGGTAAACTGTTGGTCATTTAACATAATTTATTGTTGGTCTGTAGAAGTTTTAACAGTATTGTTGCCGCGAAAAAAGTTATAATTCTGCCAATTTAAAATAATTATTAATAAAAACATTAAATAAACTTACCTGAAAACAGTTGAAACCAGTGGCTATGCCTCGTTGTCCTTTCAAAATGACAGTTAGGGGAGCGATTTAAACATTTTCAAGGCGCAAAGGTCGTTAAATAACTCAGCGTTGCAACCCAGCAGGTTTAACTCAACACCTGGAAAATGTAAACTACCCAACAGTGTTTAAAATGTGTTAATGACCCAACTAAATGACCCAAGAGATTCAGCCCAGCATTTTGAGTTAAAAAATAACCCAGCATTTTTTAGAGTGTTCGAGTCATCTAAGTAAGGAATAATTTACTCCGGGCCGTTGAATTATTCGAAAAATAATGCACACCCGAGGTGGCGTTACACCTCGGGTGTGCATTATTTTTCTAATAATTCAACGGCCCGGAGTCAATTATTCCGTTTATACTACGGTTACCACACCTCAAGACATCTTTCAGATTATATATTTAAAGGGATTCGTCCGGTTTTTGTACTTAAATCGCTATTGTGAGTAGGATTATCTTCCGCACCTCATCCAACGCCTCTTTTGCTAGTTCCAAAACGTCATTTTAAAGCTGGTAATGGAGGCTTGAGCCGTTGATAGCATTCTAATGCAGCTATTAATGAAGTTATTAGAAAGAGAGCGAGAGAGCCAGAGACACACAGAGAAAGAGAGAGAGAGAGAGAGAGAGAGAGAGAGAGCTTGTGTGAATTCGTCCCTCAACAGTGTTCTGCAGCAGCGTCTCTAAACACTGCTGTTATTACCTCGCTAGTGAGAAATGTCATGTGTAACCTTTAAGTTGCTACACTATATAGGCTAACTGATCAAATCGTCAGGGCAGCGCTGACAACACCTTTTTGTGCAAACTGCGTGACCGTAGTGTGCGAGCGCGTGTGACTGCAGTAATTATGTGTGCTGTATAGCTACTGTGTGCTAATCTCCGTTATTACAGTTAACTATGCGAAGTGATATGGAACTGTAATGCGGTCAAGAGAGCTGCCTGGAACTACGTTCGCCGTGCGTTTCCCTGAAAATAATTGCACGCCTCAGAACGTTCGTCAGCCAATCAGATTCAAGCATTCAACGGCCCCGTAGTATAAGGACAATTAAGGACCCTGATGCAGTAAGTAAAATATTTGGGTGGAATATGTTGTAACAAGGACAACAGATCAATTTGTCCTGGATGACAGTATCTTCCATATGCGTCAAAGGAATAATATTCTGTCTTCATTCAATCACCCTCACGTTTTCCCAAACCTGCATGACCTTCTTCTACGGAACACACGAGGTGAACTCTATCCTAAAATCAGATTTCTTCTCTTCATGCACTGCATTAACGGCATGCAGCAAATGCTATTTTCCTGTGGAAAAAAAAACAATGCTGTTCTAACTAAGGAATAATAAAAAAAAATAATGAAAATGTACTTGCCATTATAGCATTAACTTCTGTGGAACAAAAATGGTGGATTTTTACGAAATATCCAGGAAATCGTCTCAGGTTACTTGTGTAACCATGGTTCCCTGAGTAGGGAACGAGACACTGCGTCCTCTAGGGGTCGCTATGGGGGAACGCCTCGTCGTGACCCGTGTCTGAAGCATACATTGAAAAAACACCAACTTGTTGGCCGGCGACAGCCATGACGTCACTACCGGTGCGACTATAGTATAAATAGGCGCCGGGAGCACACATCATTCACTTCTTCGTCTGAAGCTTGCATCCGCAGCATGGCAAGAAACCTAGAGGATGCAGTGTCTCGTTA